CTGCACAGGCAATAGCGAAGTCATCAACATAGAGTGATGACCAAATATTTGATGGAAGACTAGAGGCCAAATCATTAATAGCAAGGAGAAAAAGTGTTGTGCTCAGAATACATCCCTGGGGGACACCTTCAGCTTGGATAAAGTCCGGGGAGAGCACATTATTAACCCGAACATGGAAATGCCTGTCAGTTAAAAAGTTCTTAAGGAAGGATGGTAGATTGCCTCGAAGGCCTAAGGAGTGGGCTTGGGCTAAAATATTATACCTCCAAGTTGTGTCATATGCCTTCTCAAGGTCAAAAAATATGGCAATAACTGAGTGGTTATTCGCAAAGGCATTACGAACATACGTATCCAAGCGTAGTAAGGGGTCTATGGTAGAACGTCCCTTACGAAAGCCATATTGACGAGTGGAGAGACTGTTATGTGTCTCTAAATACCACACTAAACGTCTATTTACTAGGCGTTCCATTACTTTGCAAACTGCACTGGTAAGAGCAATGGGACGATAGTGGGGGGGTTTCATGTCCCGTACTGCCTGGTTTGCGGAAAGGGAGAACAATGGCGGATTTCCACAGCTGTGGGAAAAACTCCTTGTGACCAAATAAGATTGTAAAGGCGTAATAGGACTGCAAGGGCTGACTGATGTAAATGTTGTAGCATACGAATATGAATGTCGTCGGGCCCAGCTGCCGATGATCGGCAAGCTGAGAGTGTTGCCTCCAGTTCTTGAAGTGTAAAAGGCACATTATACTGTTCTTCTCTGAGAGAAGAAAAGTCCAAGCGTGCTAACTCTCTGGCAGACTTTGAGGAAAGAAATGAGGGGGATAGATGGAGTCCCTGAGAAATACGGACCAGATGATTGCCAATTTCATTGGCAACATCTAGTGGGTTTGCTATATCAACACCGGCAACCCGCAGAACAGAGCCGGGTCAGGAGAATATTTACCACTCAGTTTTCGTACTTTTTTCCAGACTGCACTCATAGAGGAAGCAGAGGTGATGGTGGAGACATAATCTTGCCAGCAAGTGCGTTTAGCGTCACGGATGACACGGCGAGCGATCGCACGCTTCTGTTTAAAATCAAGGAGTCTCTCTGTGGTTCTATTGTACCGGTACCTGCCCCATGCAGCGCGTTTCAAACGTACTGCACGAGCACAAGCAGGAGACCACCAAGGCACGCATTTCTGAGAATGCCTGCCCGAAGTTTGGGGTATAGAATGAGAAGCTGCGGTTAAAACGGAGGACAAGAAGAGGTGTAAAAGCTCATCGATGGAGGACGAAGAAGGAACCTCTCTAAAAACAGTTAGGTGTGAGTAAAGGTTCCAATTTGCCCGATCAAATTGCCAACGTGGGATGCGAAGAGGTGGTGAATATGAAGGGGAAGTAAGAATGATTGGGAAGTGATCGCTGTCATGTAAGTCCGGGAGAACAGACCAAGTGAAGTCTAATGCGGTGGAGGAAGAGCAGACTGAGAGATCGATGCAAGAGAGAGTATGAGTCCGAGGATCAAAAAGGGTGTGCGTACCTGTATTTAAAACATGGAGGGGGTGGGTGGCAAGAAAAGCCTCTAACTGAATTCCACGGGAATCACAGTGAGACCCCCCCCAGAGGAAATGGTGGGCATTAAAATCACGAAGTAACAGAATCGGTGGCGGTAATGACGAAACAAGAAAGGCAATATCCGGAATAGATAATGCCCGAGAAGGAGAGAGATATAAAGAACAGAGCGTATACCACCTATGCAAGTGGATACGGGCTGCTGTGTAATGCAGCGAAGTATGAACAAATAGCTGATGGTACGGAATATCAGTGCATAGAAGAAGGGCACTTTCATTAAAGGTCCCATCAGGAAAAGGATCTGAAGAATACAATAAATTATAGCCTGAGATGGGAGAGATAACAGCAGAGTGTAATTTTGGTTCCTGTAAGCAAACACCAACAGGGGCAAACTGGGAGAGTAACATCTGAAGCTCACTTCGATTACCCGAGGCCGCGTATATTCCACTGTAAATAGGCCATGATTGGCAATGATAAAGATACTTGAAATCCGCAGGTAAGGGTTCCTACGGACTAGAGGGGTTAGAAAAGCCCACATGCGGAGGCAGTGGAAAACGTTCAAGCAGCGAAGGAACAGAGCGCTGTGAAGAAAGGAGTTGCGCAGATGGAGGAGAGGAGAGAGAAGGAACAGAGGGTGGATCAGTGTCCATTGATGGTTTGGTCTCTGCAATATATTCAGAGATTGCTTCAAGTGTTTCGGAATTCAGAGACGTCGTATGGGAGACAATATTGGAAATGGTAGGGGGAGGATGAGTAAAGATTGGAACTGTATTGGACTGTACCAAGGTAGGGGGGGGGCGAAAGGGTGGAGGGAACTGGAGAAGCGTGGAAGGGGATAGAAGAGGCAGAAACCTGGGAGGTGGCAGAAGAGAAAGAAACCTGGGAGGGAACAGGGGAGGAAGGTACAGTACGAGTAGGAGGGTGAACCTCTACACTTGTAACAGAGCCAGTGAGAGGGGGAGAACCAGGGACAGAGACAGGGAGGGTAAAATGAGGAGGTGGAAGATGGGTAGGAGGTGTTAACGGACCTTTTTTTGACTTTTGAGAAGTAGAGGGACGATTGGGAGGAGGTGTCATACGAGATCTCGTCGTTACTGAGGCTTGTGAGAGAGAACACGAAGAAGCGAGATCAGACTGAGGCGTTGAAGTAGGGACGTCTGATCCGAGGACAGCAAAAGGATTAGATACAGGAGTGACTATGGGAGAGGTAACCACAGAGGTGGGTGTAGAAGATGGGATACCAGAAGTGGGGGGACGTTTTGAAACACAGGAATAAGAAACACGTGGGAGTCTCCCTTGGAGGCGGAGATGAGAAACTGCCATGGCATAAGGGAGACCTTCTGTCTCTGAGGTAACGGATTTCCCGCTCGTTTAAATAGACTTGACAACGGCGAGAGTACAAAGGGTGAGCCTCATGACAGTTAAGGCAAGAGGGAGATCGATTGCAAGACGTATGAGAATGGTCATCGGCACCACAGACTGGGCATTCGGCGATAGATCTGCAATATTTCACTGGATGGCCAAATCGCCAGCAATTTCTACACTGTTGCGGTGTAGGGATCACCTTTCGGACTTGTAACCGATGTCCTGCTATATAAACTGAGGATGGGAGTTCTCGGCTGTCAAAAGTTAAACGAGCCACATTGCTAGGGTATCGTCTCCGCCCGCGGGCAGGAAGAACGTAAGTGTCTACCTTGAGGATTGGGAGATCTTGGAGTTCCAGCTGTTCAAGAATGTCAGTGCCACATGTCTGGAAATTTTGTTGAACTATGGTATGGGGCAGAATGACGGTACCACTACAAGAATTGAGGGAATGATGTTTTTCAAGAGTGACAGGAACAGTATCGATATGGGAAAGACGAGAGAGCTCATGAGCCTGGGTAGCATTCTGTACGGTGATGATGCGCGTACCGCTCTTAAGAGCATGAAAAGAAATATCTTTACCAACATGGCGTAGGAGTGCCTTGCCAATACTGTGGTCAGAAAGATAGGCAGTAGAGGAAGTCGGTCGTAAAGTGAAGAATTTAGTCCATTGTTCAGTCTGAAACTGAGCGTGGAAAGGTAGTGAAGGACGTGTCGATCGTTTCTGAGAAGAACGAGGTGGAGAAGTATCATCAGCAGGTAATTGTCGTTGGCGTTTAGGCGTGGGACCAGAGTTGGTCCGACGTGGAACGGGTCGGCGATTTGAAAATTGCCGCACCGTAGAGGGAGAGGCCGGAAGCATAGTCAGAGGAGAGCGAAGGTCCGATAAATCGAAGGAGTCAGTCGAGGCCTCAGTACCTGAAGCGGGTGAGGAAACAGCACCGGCAAGAGGTACAGAGGCATGAGGAGTGTCTGAAGAGTGGTCCAAAGACGAGGCGGGGTCAGAACGGGGTGCGGTATCAAGAAGGGGCCCGGGGGTAGGAGGTTCATGGACTAGGGCTGCCATGGTTAGGTTACTTCTTTCTTTTTGTTTTTAAGAAAAAAAAGAAAGAAAAGAAAATAAAAATAAAAAAAAAGAATAAAAAAAAAAGGGGGACCGGGGAGGGATAGTTCCTAGGAGGAATGAAAGGGCCAGAAATCTCCCTCTGCGCCCAAGAGGACCTCAGCACCGCAAGTAGCGCAGATGCAGCATGGAACCCGTGCCATACCCTACCCATCATGCTAGTAAACTAACAATCCAGGATAGCAACCTCACATCTGCCGAGCTACCTCGGTGGACAAAAGAGAGGGCGGCTGGATATCCGCCACAAAGCATACCTCCTTCGGCCACCACCCCCGGAATCCGAAAGGTGGCTTCCAGAGATACACCCGTCGCCCGAAAGACACCCAAAGCTACTCCGGGATACAGGAGAGGGATCGGGACATCCCCAGGCGATCCAGATTCCACGGCAAACTACGCCACCGCCAAGAACCTCAACGGAATGGGATGGACCCCGGTAGCCTTTCCCCTACCTAGGAACTAGCGCGCCTGTGGGAGAAATCCCAAAGGCCGAAAAGAGGAAGGGCAAAAGGGAGGGGTGGGGAGGAGGAGGAGGAAAGGAAAAAGGGGAGGATGGGATAGGGGAGGGGAGATTGGGGGGTAATTAGGTTCGGTCTGAGGAAGAAGACCGACAGGTCTAATTCCTCAGACCAAGAGCCTCTTCACCACGCCAAGGAGCCCCTCTTGAAGAGGTTTACTGTCCATAGCCTCCTTTTCTGCAACATTCAATGACTATGCTTCACACCTGTAAGTGTTGCAGTTGGGACTTATTTCAGTGGTGATTGTGAATTTCTGAAAAGTTGGGGAACCACTGATAGTGATTTTTTTTCTTTTTTGTCTGGTTCATACAGCTATAGTGAAGAGTAACTTAAATCTTAGAAATAACAATGAGGGAAAGGGGAGGTTCACTAGATGCCAGGAGGTATAAAAGAGTACATATTAGGAGAAACGCACAAAAGATATGAGGGTAATAAAATAATGCTAATAGATGAGACCTGTATTCACTGATACTTTATATGAAATGTTACAGGCACAATCCTAAGTAATATTTTATGGAAATTTTTTTTTTTAAACATTTCCCAAGTTACATACTATCACTCTGCATGGCCCTTGCTATGACAATATGTGACATGGTTAGTTGTCAACTACTGAATTTAATATTATGTTAATAAAGCACTAAACCCATGGAGGTCATTCAGTACTGTATTAATATAATAATTCTGCATTCAGCATCTGGAAAATATGTCAATTCAAAGGTAATTTGCGTAAAGTTTAATTCTATCAGCCTATATCCTGTTCGTCGCATACACAGCAGATGAAAAAGTCACAAAACCTATTCTGAAAATAAACGAGTTAAGACCAATTGTTGTAAGAGGTTGACTAACCATGTCACATTCACTTAACCTACAGTTCAGCATTTAAATGGTCCACTCTAGAGCAGTGAGCGAGTGTACATTTGTATCAGGTATACTAAACAAGAAATAACATTTGTTAAAAAATGCACATCAAAGAAAATAATGACTGCATAAATTGCCTCCTTGTCCTGCACAAAATGTGAAGTTTTGACATTTACTAGAGCAAAATTACTCCCAAGCCTGTCTTTTTTTATTGATAGCCAAACTTCCTGCAATTTGGGCATTTATAAAATTATGAAAATAATGTTTGCATCAATATGTAAATATAAATGGCCATTAGCATACAGTAAGATTACATATTTGGGATTTAAAATTAAAAATTAAGTTCAGTTTCTCCAGTTAAGACTTTGTTAATTCTAAGTTCTAAATCTTGTATTATTAAATTAATTTATGCATTTATTTTATATTTTTAAACTCTTAATTAAAACATGTAAAAGACAACTGAAAAACTAAAGCAATCTTGCTATCTTTCTCAGTAGCGTCCTCTACGATCTCGACGATCACGATCACGAGAACGTGAGCGAGACCTTCGCCTATGCTTGCTGTCTGCATGTTTCTCAGAATGCTTATCACGTGACCTAGATCGTGAACGAGAACGATGTTTGTAACGAGAACGAGATGAACGGGCAAGTACATTTTTGAAATGATGTGAAATTGGCTTAACATGCCAAAAATTACAGAAGCCACCTTTGCCACATTGGCCCATCTCAAACTGCCTACAAGACGCTTCACGAAAGTCAGCAACAGGGCAGAGGTCACAGTAGATTGGACGGAACATGTACCAACGGTTGTTCAAATCTTCTGCAGCCTTTACAGCATCCTCTTCTCGTCTAAACTTGATATAAACATTCCCTCGCAGGTGGTCACATTGGTTATCGCAGACGCACATTTCTTCTATTTCACCATATTTTTCTTCACATTCAAAAAACACATCTTCAAAGAAATACTCGAACTGCTCTTGAATCTCATGGTCACTCATATTGGCCAGGTGAGAACCATCTGCAGATTTGGCCGAGTTCTGTTGACTCACATACATGTTCTGCATCACCACAGTTTGACTGGAATAAAATATTTATTAAGTTGGAGATATAGCTTTATGCAGATAAGACAGAGTGAAAATGTAGCTACATGCAATGATGAAGGAACTGGGTGAAGTATTAACATATTGAATAGTGTATAAAAGAAAAATTAAGAAATTGTATCTCAAATTGAGTTAGACAGGATTTTGGTTACAACATGTGTCAAAGATAAATATTTTGATGAGGCAAGTAAATTGTTGGTCAACCAGTTTTTAAATTTCAAATAGGAAGTGAAATATGGGAGAACAGTAGAAGTTAAGGTAAAATTTTGTATATAATTTAGAGCAAAGAATGTGTCCAGAAATTATAAAGTAAATGATAATAAAATAGTCTCACAGATACAGGCATAGGAAACATGGAAAAAAATTAATATATTAGATAAGCAGAGGAGGAATGAGGGTAAAACAAGGAGGCAAAAAAAGAAGTGAGAGGAGAAAAAATAATGGCAGTATGAAAGAGCATTACTACTCAGAGGATAAAAAAAATTTCCAAAGAAAGTCACTACTGAATTGTGAGGCCTAAGTATAAATACGATTTATGAAGACATAAATAAATAGTGCCTAAATTTTTTTAATTTGTATGAGAATAGTGGGAACACACGTTTATCTTTTATCTATTTATGGTTTTGGGATTACCTCACCCCATGACCCAGTCTTTGGTCAGGCCTCCAAAGACTGGAAAGTAAATATTACAGGAAAAAAATGGTTTAAACACACAGGATAGCAAAGCTAAGTGTATAGTGCATGAAAGTAAGAATTTGCAAGACTTACCTACCTTTTACATGTGCATGAGAGAAATGTTAAACTAGATAATGCGATTCTTGTACCAAGTGCAGACAACATCCTGCATCAACATGAACCTGATCAGCAGCTAATTTTGAAAGTACAGAACTTTTGCTCTGATTATACATTTCCTAAGATGCACATTTTGTACAATAATACATACTGTACTTGGAAAATGAAAATAAAACCTCAATTCAACACATTTTAGATTTATCAGAAAATCCATTGTTTCAAGAACTGTCTGTTGTTCTTAAGATCTGCTGGGTAAATTGTTTTTGGAGACCACAGACAAAGTCCATTGTTTCCAGAATTGTTCATTGGTACAGTCAGGCAAAACAATCTCATGTTTTGGATTAACCAGACACCCTTTCTTCTGCATCAGCCTGGTATATCAAGTCTTCACTGTGCAAGTGCATTTATTTGTAAGTATATCTGCAGTGTATTGTACCAAATTCTACTCACCTCTTGGATTTTTTTTTCATTGTCCTGAACTTTATTTTAAGTTATTTCAGATAGTCTCTTGCCCCAATCAAATTGGATTTGCTGTGTATATCTAAATGCCCCTTTATTATTTTATAGTCATGGGAAAGAACTAAACCCACTGGGGTCAAACTGTGCCTTGGAAATAAGAGAAAAAAAAAGTTATATCTCCAATTTTCTAAGTCATGAGCCATACACCAGCATGAATTAACTCTACCTTGATGGGAATGAATAAACAGACGGTATGGAAAACTTTAGTAGTAAAGTTTATAAAAACGAAAATAGATTTGAAAAATAAATTCACTGAATAAAGTGTTACATTTCACATGTGCTTATAGAAACAAAGTATTCTAAGTTCAAAAAATTCAGAGATATTCCATGAAAGAAAAAAAGAAAAAAGAAAAAAAGTAACCACTAAAAGTTCAGATTAGTTTTCACAGGCTAGCTAAACTGCTACATGTCTACACATCTTATGCAAATAGCCAAAGGCAAATGCCTCCATTTTAAATCAAATCTATATGACCGCTTGGAAATTACCAGAGATACCACCATTGAAAAATTAAGATTTTATTAAATTATATTTTCCAATAAGATAGTTAAAGTGCCAAGGGAGGGCTGAAGCCCTTATAATCTCCAGCATCACCTCCAAATAAAAAGGATGATAATGCAGCTTTAAGACAAGCCATTTAGCCTCCCCCCCCTCCTCCTCCTCCCAACCACAATGCCATCCCTAAGCCCCTCCTGTACAAATAATCTGGAGCCATCCCTAATGTAAGGTATTTTGTTTTTGTTTTTGTTTTATCACATCAGCCATATCCCACCAAGGCAGGGTGACCCACAAAAGAAGAAACACTTTCACCATTGCTCACTCATGTATGGTAATGTTCCTTAATAAACATTTATACTGGGTCATGATGTCAACATGCCAAACATCAAGCAATCAACATTTCCTCATTTATTACTTATACATTTCATTACCTTTTCAACAAATACAGAATTATTTTTTATAAAAAATATTATAGTGGTTTGCACACATTAAGAAGCTAATAATGTTCATTACACAGTACTTTGTAGAAAATTATGATTTTGATTTTCTTACATTTTACAATAAATTCTTAGATAAAAATTTACCTGAAGATATGGTATACCGAGCCAGAACTGTAATAAGCACGATGTATAGAAGTCAAACTTGACCCAACAACACGATGTATACACATTTTATTCCCAGTTTTCGTTTTTTTTTTTTTTTTTGGGGGGGGGGGGGGTGATACAGGGAGTTTTTGTTGACCCATGAAAACTTGCCAATATTTCCAATGAAACATTCCATTAAATGTAGAACTTCATTAATGCAACGAGTAAATATTTGTAATTTTTACCAAAATAAAATAACAGTTTACTAAATCCACAAACATCAGAAATATGTGATGTGATGTGATGATACTGGAAGTAATAACTTGTGGAAGGTCATAGGTCAAGGGAAGTCATGTAACCTGTCTTGCAGTTCAATGCTACTTGAGTTATTTCGATAGTGTTTTATAGTTTGCTAATATGGCTTGCTCTACAAGCTTTCAAGACCATTGTCATGTTTTAAAGAGAGTTAACCCTTTCACTGTCCAGACCCCGAAATTAATAGTGCAGTGTCCATTGTAAAAAAAAAAAAAAAAATCTTAAATGGTACAGGATCTTTCTTCTGAAGGTAATGACAAAAAAGTATGAAATTCGATGGAAAACTTGTGGAAGTATGCAGGTGCAAATTAGAAGTCTCAGTGCAATTTATGCATTGGTAATTTTGCCCAACTTCAGTCCTATTTTTACTAGTATGCCATCCATTCAATCGATTGAGCACAAGAAACCACCCATTCAACTATTTCAACCACCTTATAAAGTGCACAAAGTTGGTAATTTGGCCAATTTTACACAAAATTAAAAAAAAAAATTATTTTTAAATTGGTTCATAGCTTATCAGAACAATGTTAGGGGACCCTGGCCTCAATGAAGTAGTCGTACATGACGGACAGCGAAAGAGGCAAGTGTGGTAAGGAGTTTCTACTTCTCAAGGAGAATTTGTGTAATAATGAATGTGCAGTGCACATTTAGGTGTGACAAATGTGACCTCTTGTTCAGCTTGAAGGTGCTAAGAATTCTTCCTACATCCTTTTGAAACCTTTCAGGACCTTATATGTGGTTATCCACTCTCCCTTTTTTCCTTATTAGCCAACAGGTAGCTAGCAACCATCCAGGGAGGTACTAAAATCCTGTGACACTAGAGTGAAACATAAGCTTGCTCAATGTTTTGCACCCTGGCAGGGTACTGCTCTTTTCTGTCTCACAAAAAGGCAAGATGGCCATAGTGATTAAAAACTTCTTCACTTACGGTCAGTATACATTTATCTTTACTTTGTGTTTTTCTTCATACAGTACTTACAAATAACAAAAAAAGGCACAATACCGTGACTGGAACGATACACAAATAACCCGCACATAAAAGAGAGGAGCTTATGGCGACGTTTCGGTCCGACTTGGACCATTTACAAAGTCACACAGTGTGACTTTGTAAATGGTCCAAGTCGGACCGAAATGTCGTCGTAAGTTCCTCTCTTCTATGTGCGGGTTATTTGTGTTTCACACACACACAATTTGTGCAGCGAGATCTATCCCAGCTATCCGCTTCAAACCTAGCACAAACTCAAATTCCTAAATATTCATTATTATTATAATAAAAAAGAAGCACTAAGCCCCTAAATATTCAAATCCCTAAATATTCTAAATACATATTAATATCATACTATGCAAACATTACTTATTACTGTTCAACCCACATACAACAATGCTGTAATGGTTATGCTCACCTTAACACAATTCCTGGAAAAACAAAACATACAGGTACCTCAAAAAAATACCTGTTTGATACTCACATTCATCTGAATCTAAGCAGAAACTCTATGCAAATAAAAGGACCAAAAATTTGGAAATGTTTACCAGATGAAACAGAGTTATAACAATGAGGTCACACAGAAAGGTACAAAATTGAGTGTTAAAATCCAATCATATTTACACCACATATCTTTCTGAAACTAACTGCTCTAAGTAATTTCAGAAGTTACTATTCAGGTTTTTTTAATTTGTCAAGAATAAATTTAATTTTATTTGATATTGTAATTTGCACTTAAACTAAAAATTCTGGATTTGATTTTTGATACAGCATACTGTACGTATGTCCATAAAGTGACAATGTTTTGTTGACAATGACTCCTAAGTCGCTCAGTCTGTACAGCTTTTTAATAATTTATCACACTATTTGTGGGGCCTTTTATCCTTATCTCCCATTTCCATTGAATAGTGCTTTATATCTAAATTAAGTTGTCATCAACATTTCCATTAACTATAAAATTTAGCAGGATTTTTTATTTTTTATTACTACTTTTGCATAATATTTTTAAATGAAAGATAGGACTATAAAAGAAGTGACTGCTAGGGAGTTGGGGAGAGGCATGGGTTTATAAGATAATGAACCTGATACAAACTGAGACCTATTCCAGCTGCTCCTTGCTGATGGCATTCCTTCTGGGGGATTCTGAAGAGAAGTTGCAAAGATTGGGAGAAATCTGGGAGGATATATAAAGAAGAAAATTAAAAGTAAGCATAGAAAAAGCAAGGTGATGAGAATAATATAGCTAACAAAAAGTAAAGGCAACGAAACACTGGATATCAGACTGGGGGGAAGGGGTTTACAGAAGTGAATGTTTCCATATATTTAGGGATGAACATGTCTGCAGATGGGTCTATAAAAGTAGAAGTAAATCACAGAACAGACAACAGGGCAGGGAGAGAATGTAGGTGTAGTGTTAAGTAATGTGAAAAGAAAAGTATGGAGGCAAAAAGGGGAATGTACCAGAGTATAGTAACACCAACACTTATACTGTGGGAATGAAGCATGGGCTTTAAATGTTAAAGCAAGGGGAGGCTGGAGGCTGTTTGAAAGCAACGTGAACATACATAGTAAATGGAGCATAGAAATTAGGTGGGGTGGGCTTACAAAAGGTACAAATCAGAGGGCTAAGGAGAGAGATACCGTTACCTTCGACGAGTTTCAGGAGTCTTTCTACTCCCAGAGCCCGGTCATGGGCCAGGCTCATCTGGTGCTAGCCTGGTCAATCAAGCTGTTGCCGTTGGAGGCCTGCTGCCCCACATATCCATTACAGCCTTGTTGATCTGGTATCGGGTGAAGATACCAGTCCAGTTTTCTCTTTACGACTTTTACGCTTGTTCCAGCAGTGTTTCTGGTATCTTCTGGTAAGATGCTGAATAATCTCAGGCCACAATGTTGACACATCACCACAACCCTGCTTTTAACTAGATATACTCTGCACTTCCTCCCATCTCTCTCACTCCAGTATGTTATGACAGTGTGCAGATTTGGAACCAGGCCTTCAAGTACTTTCCAGGCACATATGTATCTCTCCTCTGCTTCAGTGAGTACATATTCAAGACTAAGGCTTTCCAAGTAATTTAAATGCTTTACTGGCTCTATGCAGGCCATAAATGATCTCCGATATTTCTTGCTCTGAATGGGGCTGTCAACACAGCAATACTCCAAATGAGGGAGCACTAGTGATTTGAAAAGTGTCACTATTGACATATTTCCCTTCTTTTGAAGGTTCTCAATACCTACTCCATCATTCCCCAGGCTGTCATGACCTTTGTCTTATATTCTCTGAAAGAAAGGTCAGCTGATATAGTTATTCTCAAGTCTTTCACATGTTCTTGCATTCTATTTGATGATCCTAGAGTTTTGTGTACAGAGTTCCTTTTGAGTTTCTCATTCTATCCATACCTAAGCAGCTGGAACTTATCACCATTGAATGTCATGTTGTTCTCCACTGTCCATTGTAAAACACTGCTTATATCTTCCTGTAATTTTTCAGTCTCTTCTACCATAGTAACTTTCATGCTTATTTTAGTGGTTAGGGAATTTAGATAACTTGGAGCAAAATAGGATGATCAAGCAGATATAGAAATATAGGTTGGAAGGAGGGGTAGGGAAGCATTGTAAGGAAATGCAAAAGGGGTTTTGACTGCTAGGGTCTCAGCATCCACCAGGCTTATATGAGCATATTAGATTAGAGTGAGTTAAGCCATTTTTATGGCTTAGCATGCTGTTGGAGAGGATTCATGGCAACAGCTATTGAATGACTGACGGTGAATGCATTTTTTTTTTGTGGGGGTAGTGGAAGGGGAGGTGAGGGTTACCTTACCTTAGTGGGAGTGGGAGATGGCCAGTGTTAAAGATCTTTTTATCCTCAGCAAAATTTTTCATAGTTTTTGTTCCCCCAGGCAAGTCATTTACATGAATTAGACAGATTCATTTTGATGCTCATAGCACCTCATTTGTAAAGTTTTCCCATAAAGAGTTTTCCTATTACCATTTGCATTTTCTTTCCTACAATCACCCATTCATTGTAAAAGCTTGTCTTTTGTTGATCTTGTTCTGCAGTCCCCAGATAAACCTTCCATAAGATTCCTTGAATTCAATGTAGATGCACACACACTAATGAAAACATAATTTGCCCATCCATTTTGTTAATGATTTCTGTGACTGTCTTAGGGATTTTGATATACAAGTACTTCCAGATTTAAAAGTGAAATGTTTGCTAGTTAGCAGATTTTTGGTCTCCAGTGTTTAGCCACTTTTTCTAATGGCTTTGTTTTAAAAAAAAAAGCAAATCAAGCCAATAGTTTTTTTTATTTGTACTAGTTTTTTTTATTTGTACTGAGTGACTACTGGTAATTTGATAAATATGTTGGGCTACAAGGTTGTGTAATGTCCATATGGTTTTTCATTTTACATCTGGTCGAGGTGGGAATATTTAAAAGGGTGTTAACTTGAAGAATTATATGAAACAATCATAATTCCATTTATCAAACTCTCGATTTTAAATAATGTAGGCAATGTCAGTTAAACAGTAACTAGTGGCTGGTGTAATGTGTCCTCAAAATGAGATATGGAGAGATAATGAATTTAAGAATTGAGCCAGTTACATCCATGAAGTGCCACATAGGTATGTGCTATATATAGCATGTTTAATTACATAAATATAAAGAAATAAAAATTATTTCCATGTGCTATAAGGATGGACAGCAATACTTATGTACCATAAAATGAATGACTATTTCCTCCCCAAGATTTCAAGACTGATTTTTTTTTTTTAAATTTAGTGTTATAAAGATGACAAGTGTTACACCCTCCAAACTTTCAAATGACTATGATCTATAACTTGCATTTAATAATGTACACGTATTAACACTATTTGTGTTGACCTGTTCGACTAAACTGGCCAAAAGTAGTCAAAATACAGTAATAAACTAATGAAAACTCCAATAAATATGAATGCCTAAAATTAAGAGATATTTAGGCCTTCCACACAGTAGTTAGAATATTCAGCAAGTGTCAGAAAATGCGTTGAAGAAAGCAAGAGACCAGAACAGTAATGACAAAGCAGTTTGGACATAAAACATGATAGTCATTTCTTCATTCTAACATTTCATATATGTACTTAACACAATTATTTCAACATGTAAAATAAAGTTGTGTATATTTCACTTATGTTGACACTTATTTTCCCATGCTGTTACTATACTACTTGGAAGATATTGGTTGTCAATACCTGAAGATTTTTAATCCACTTCTCTATCCTGCCCATGCAAGAGGCACTTCCCCCAACTCATTTTCATGAAATGTCTCAAAAATATTACATTTCATTTTTTGTCTTCTGAAGACGACTGTAGTCTAATCATTCCTCGGTATACTCCAATAACATTCATACTCAAATATTTCTCAAGCTTACATGTCTAGAAATTTATGAAAGATAATTTTTTTTTTTTCGAATAAGTCGGCCGTCTCCCACCGAGGCAGGGTGACCCAAAATGAAAATACTTTCATCATCATTCAACACTTTCATCTCACTCATACATAATCACTGTTTTTGCAGAGGTGCCCAGATAAAAACATATCTTTAAAAAAAATTATGATTATGGGAATACTGTACAATACATAATGGATTTGTAAAGCCATTTACGAATGTAGTAGTAACTTAGGTAGTGTAGATGCTCTCCATACAGTACTTTAAACTGCATTACTTTAAGGCCTTACAAACTTAATATCACACACATCCATACAATCATAAACATTTTGCAAAATGTTTTATTTGCTGTGCACTGGAACTAAGGATTTCTTACTAGCAATGTTACTTCCACCTTAGTTAAGTATGGGGTATCCCTCTCAAAAATAATACTGCCACCATTTTATATTTGTTAAATATACCTCTCCAAGATAATGAAGAAACTCCTCATAAGGGAAGGGTACTAGCAAAATACTTTTAAAGAATAGCAATGCAGGAAATACTATATGGGTAATAAAATAATACTAGTAGACGAGACCTGTATTCACTGATGCTTCAAATGAAATGTTACAGGCACAATCCTAAGTAATATTTTATGGAAAAATTAAAACACATTTCCCAAGTTACATGCCATCACTTTGCATGGCCCTTTCTATGACAGTATGTGACATGGTTAGTTGTCAACTACTGAATTTAATATTATTATATTAACAAAAAGCACTAAACCCATGGAGGTCATTCAGTACGGCATTAATATAATAATTTTATATTAAGCATCTGGAAAACATACCAATTCAAAGGTTTATAGTTTAATTTTATGAGCTTACATCCCTTTCATCACACACAAAGCAGATGACAGTCACAGAACCTATTCTGAAAGAAAATGAGTTAAGACCAACTTTTGTAAAAGGTAGACTAACCATGTCACATTCACTTAACCTACACTTCAGCATTGAGTGTACACTTATATCAGGTATAAACAAGAAAAACAATTCGATTAAAAAAAAAAATTGCACATTTAAGAAAATAATGACTGCATAAATTGCATACTTGTAGTGCACAGAATGTGCCATGTTTTGACATTTACTAGACAAAAATTATTCCCAAGTCAATGCATTTGCAATATTTATAGTTACCGAACTATTTTCAGTGCAATCTGAGCATTAATAAAACTATGAAAATACTGTCTGCATCATTATCTAAATCTAATGACCATTCAAATACGGTAATAACACACATTTGGGATTTGATATTAAAAATTATATCCAATATAAGATTTCATGTAAAAATGAGGGCATGTAATGCAAAGATTCTGGAGCCAATTTTCAAATTTTATCTCTAAGTTGTAAGTACTGCATATCATATATTAATTACATGATCATTTTATGCATTTGTTGTACATTTTTCAATGTTTACAATGTGTAAAAGAATTACAAAACTAAGAGCAATCTGCCATCTTCTCAGTAACGTCCTCTACGATCCCGACGATCACGATCACGAGAACGTGAGCGAGACCTTCGCCTGTGCTTCCCATCTGTATGCTTCTCAGAGTACTTATCACGTGACCTTGAACGTGAGCGAGAACGATGTTTGTAACGAGAACGAGATGAACGGGCAAGAAGATTCTTGAGGTGGTGTGAAATTGGCTTAACATGCCAAAAGTTACAGAAGCCACCTTTGCCACATTGGCCCATCTCAAACTGCCTACAAGACGCTTCACGAAAGTCAGCAACAGGGCAGAGGTCACAGTAGATTGGACGGAACATGTACCAGCGGTTGTTCAAATCTTCTGCAGCCTTTACAGCATCCTCTTCTTGTCTGAATTTAATATAAACATTCCCTCGCAGGTGGTCACATTGGTTATCGCAGACACACATTTCTTCTATTTCGCCATATTTTTCTTCACATTCAAAAAACACATCTTCAAAGAAATACTCGAACTGCTCTTGAATCTCATGGTCACTCATATTGGCCAGGTGAGAACCATCTGCAGATTTGGCCGAGTTCTGTTGACTCACATACATGTTCTGCATCACCACAGTTTGACTGGAATAAAATATTTATTAAGTTGGAGATATAGCTTTATGCAGATAAGACAACAAGAGTGAAACGAGCACAACAGTTACATGCAATGATGAAGGAAATGGGTGAATTAACAACATATTGAATAGTGCATCAAAGAAAAAATATATTTAATTTGTATTGTTTTATGATGTGTGGTACAAGATCCATCTTAGAAGAATAAGTCACAATTACATGACTGGAACAACTCTACTAAGTTTTTTTTTTTTTTTTGGTGAATTAGGTTAAATCATTAATTCCAATTAGAAGGTATGGGTTAAAACAGACTGAATAGAGATGTTTATGTGAGATGAATAAAGTGTAGCCCTACAAATCTGAGAGATAAGTTCAGAGACCATTTCTAAGCATGGGAATGAAATGTGAGAGTAAAAACAGTGAAGATTATCTTTTAATCATGGCTTTAGAATACTTAGTGTACACAATTATAAATTACAATTTTTGGGAAAATGAGATGGTGCAATTTTCCAGTTTAAAAAGTGAAGCAATTTCTCAAAATGTAGAGAAAAACATAAGAGATAAAATGAACAGAAAATAACCAAGGAATAGAAGCAAATATGAGCATGAAGATGATCATTAATGAATTCTGAAGCCAAGGCATAAACACATTTTTGAAGATACGGATAAATGATTCTTATAATACCAACAATACACAACTATAATTTGTGGCACAATACTTCCAAGTATGAAATGGAAATGTTAACAGTTCTCAAATCTTGAAACTGAATTGAGGGTTGACTGCTATTTAATGACCTAGATAGGGACTGGACAAAAGATTTCTTATGGGAATCGAATTTTCCCACCGTGTTAGCAAGCGCACTGTATTTGTTGGGGACAGCAGCCTGGCAGGAGGCCAGTGTACAAGTGGCAGATAAACATAAGTAGGAGGAAGGGGAAGGGGGGTGTTTAAAAGTCAAGGTTTTTTCACTTTTTTTTTTTCAAAATTAGGTTCTGCGAATATTTGTAAAGTGAGGGTTGAATGTATTTACAGGCAAGTAGACACAAGTATACCACTATAAATGCTTTGTTTTCTACATGACACGGTACACACTAAACTTTTTTATTTCCCCTTGAAATCAAATAGTGATCAGTAGTACAACTACTGGTAACGTACCAACAAGGCACATCTTAAACGACTAGCTTAGAAATTAGTGAACCATGAAGATACATACTGATGTATAAATAAGCAAGTCATAGCCAGGAATAGGAATGCAATCAAAACCTACTACAATTCAACTGTGGTATGATATGGGGGACAAACAGTCCTCAATCTGCATACTCCAACTGCCACCATAAACAGCAATGAGGATAGGAACAGGGGTGGAGATGGAAACCATCATTATTCATGAAGATCATTTATTGCTATCAATTCAAAATCTTTAGAAATGGAAGTAAATTAGGACGTCAATACTGTAATAACCATGAACTTGACAGTCTACATGCGTCACTGTGAGCCACAAAGACATCCTCCTTAAATAAAAATAAATTAAAATCCCCAAACAATAGGAGTCATTTAGCTAAGAGCAAAATTAGTTCACAGATCATCTAAAGAAAAGAGGCATAATAGAGAGGGGCTGCAGTAAACTATGGTACTCAATGAAGATTAAAATGTCATGTGCAGAACATTTCTACACAAAAAGCAGCATTACAAGAAGTGACTACGTAATGAAGTCTTGATAGTCAAAGACATACTGTACAGTACAGAGGGAAAAATGGGAAATCAACATTAGCAGTTCTCCCTAATTCCCTCTGTATCCTTTATTATATCTGTAATACTGGCATAAAAGAAAAAGATAATGGAACATGAGAAAACTATAAATTGGGATGTACAACCAAGCCAGGCCTTGATGTTTCTTATGGTAGATGCTGTGAGATTATGAAGGACTTGAGTGTAGTGGGTTTGAGAACACTGCCACAGGACAACTATGTGGGAGTTGAAGTTGTGAACAACCAATAGGTTAATGTTGGAGAGAGGCCAGAGTAAAGCAATTGGGTAAATTGAGTCAAGTTACTGCCATCATCCCATGGAATGACTGGATACAAATGTTAATTGCCAGGAAATACATACTGTGCATTCGAGTGCTTGTTGAAGGTCACTATCAGTGATGCAGGCATCAAAGCAAGCAGTTATGCCTTCAGTTGTCTGAATATCCATAGAAAAAAAACGAAGTAGAATGAGGAACAGATGAAGTACTAATGATTATGCCTAGAAGGTAGTTGGGTAGAAAGGTCAGGCATGTCACGTGTACCCCCCTACCACAACCAATGTAGGGGCTAAAGAAACTAGGCAGGGATTTCTAGGTCATAGCTCCTCCTCAGTAAGAAAAGTAAAACGAGGTGGAACATCCAAAATGAGAACAGACGTTGAAAAGTGAGGTATTTCATACAGTAGTACCCTGACTTATGAGGCTTTCAATTAGGTTTTGCACTTACAACATTGGCATTTTGGAACCAATTACGAACAATGACTCACTTTTCCAACACTGGGACAACTAGATATATTATACTGTATGTTATATAAATTATATACATTTTTTGTTAATTTTTTAGAAAATTATTTAAACTTGTTTATATTGATTTTTATGCATGCATAGAGAACTTTTATTTGTTGGTAAAGACTGGTCAAAAACTTATGATTCAATATTTGTGCCATTAGTACGTCAGGGGTTGGCGGTGGTGGTGAGGGAGGACTGGTGGTGTATGAGACAGGGAGGAAGGCGAGTTGGCTGGCTGTGTCGCCTCCTGTTCAGCACTACTAGCTGTTTTGTTGACATGTTCATTACATAGATGGACCGAGATGTAACACCACATGACAACACCCTCCCTCACACTACACACCTGCCCTCACACCCAACCTCACCCACTTACCTATCAACCCACACCACACTAACACACCAACATACCCACACTCCTACCCTCTCCCATACCCACCATCACATTCACACCACCCACTCACACAAACCCTCTCTCAGCCTCTAAGTGAAAAGTAACAGTACTGAATGTAAGGCAATGGGGAAAAAATTCTTTAAAAAAGGTTAACTAAAATTCAATACACATCATGGCATGGGAACATTTTACATTTCTTGTGGGAAAAATAAATCTTGAGGACTAAATAATTGACTCAATGTTTTTTTGGAAAGCATTAAAATTGGCTGTACTGTACAGTAATAAAAATATACAAGAAGGCCCCACATATATATCACCCTCTTTTCGGTGATCCATATTTTTGTTGGCTTTCAAGCGAGCCATTGTTTATTATGTTCAGTGCTTTTACCGCTTTTCTGCTGCTTTCATACAAGTTGTGAGAGGGAAGGGTGACCAGTGCCATATTTTAAGGTAATATTGTGTGTACTGTGTACTTATTTAACTTAATCTGTTTTTTTATGCCTAGTTGTTGTGAGCACTTAATGTATGATAGTGTAAACATGTTGTCAGGCATTTTAAATGCTGGTGATTTTTACTTACTGTACAGGGTAGAGAACTTAAAAGCCATACAAATGGGGCCCTCCTGTATGAAGATGACACTAGTGACAAGTGCACTACAAAACTTTTGACGAGTTTCAAGAGTTTTTCTACTCCCAGAGCCTGGTCTTGCACTAAGCTCTTCTGGTGCTTGTCTGGTCAACCTGGTTATTGCTGATAGTGGCCACTGGCCCAAATATACATCACAGCCTGGTTGATCCAGCACTTAATGAAGGTACTTGTCCAGTTTTTCTTGACGACACTACACTTATCTCTGTAGTGTTTCTGATACCTTCTGGTAAGATGCTGAATAGTCAGCTGGTTGGAGGAAGAGCCTGGCTGTAAGTCTCTCTCTCTTTACAACATTGTATTTTTCAGTCCTCTGAAAGCAGGTTATTTGCAGATGGGGCATGCCACAAGCTAATTGCAACACTTTGCCAGATGACCAGAATTACAAGATCCACTAGCCAAACTGATTTATTAATAACTATACAAATGACTTACAGTAATTGATAATGAGCATGGTGATGATGCTACAGTACTACCATTGACCATGAATGAGACAAAAGTTTCTTATTTTAATGAGGAATAGGATTTGGTGACACAGCTGACAGCAAATATTATACACACAAATGGTTACTTTTAAATGTTTGTGAAAGGAAGGAAAATCCCATAATTTAAGGTAAATTCAGATGTGAATATAGGTATTTTACCTACAGGTTGCAGCTTTGGCAGGTTGCCAGCTGGGTTAATGCCACATATGTGGACAGCTCTTTCCCAATCTCATAATGCATGGAGCAAGAAATTTTGACTGAGGTCAGAAGTGCATGGGCAACTTTGTTTTCTTCAATTTCTCTCATCAGTACTAAGACAGTGTAAAGAATTTTGTCTACACTGAACTGAATACTTCATAAAAAAAATAATTTAGATCCAGTGAAAAAATTAACACTGTAGGAATGTGGAGATAGGCAGCATACTCAAGTAGGTTATACATGGTACAGTAGTTTGAAATGGTGAAATCATTTTGCTGAGTTCCACAAGAACAGTCAAGAAACTGCTGTTAGATCATAGGAGATTCAGTAACAGTCATAACAGGTAATAGTTAAGTGATCATAGTGAACAGTGATTTCCAGTAGCTCATTGGCACCTCATGAGTTCCAGAGAAGATGCTCCATCCAGCTATTTGTAGTGTTCAGAATTGTCCAAGCTTAACAATTTCATGTCATGGGAGAAAAGGTGGTCCCTACAAGAGCATAAAAAGGCAAGACTCAGAAATCAAGCATCTTCAACCCTCCCTCCCTCATAAACCATGCAACAAGAGGCTTTTGGCCTTATGGGTAAGAGAGAAAGAGACTTTAGACAAGGAAATATTAGAGCCTTACAGCAGACCACTCCATATAAAAACCATACAACCAAATCTGTAGTCAACACCTGACTTCCAATTTGAAACTCAGGCAAGACTAGCAGATGAAGTAAAACTGATCTGGAGTAGCAGCAGATAACGAGGGCTACT